AGGTGATCCAGAAGTCTGTTTTTGAGGCTTGTTTATGTGTCTTCTCATTTCCACAGGGCGGGGGGTGCTTCTGGCGCCCACGCGGCTCACCTTCTCTGCCCTAGGAGCTTGGGATGACGGCGGGGGAGCTTCCTTCCGGGTGCTGGGACTGGCTCACCTTCTTGGCCCTAGGAGCCTGGGATGGCAGCGGGGGAGCTTCCTTTTCCCTACTTTCAAACTCTTTGCTTCAGCTTTGCATCCTTGACATGAGGACTAATTTCCCATCTTAGTGTACGTGCCGGAGGGATTTCAAGGAAAGAAGCGACCATGGGCTCCAATCTGAGGCTCACAGAGTAGCAGGGAAGCCTGGCCCAAAGGGAGAAGGTGGTGATTTGTGTCCTAAGTGGGGCCACACAGCTAGTGGAAGGGGGTGAGGGGACAGGAGGGGTCAAGGGGAGGCAGAGGCTGATTGCTGCTGGGAGTTTGCTGGCCAGCTTGCCCTTCCAGCTCATCTGTGGTCCAGCCCCGGTGGGGGCCTGTCCCTGGGAGCCTCTGCCCTGGATGAGCGGACCCCGAACTGCAGGGCTCCGAGCCACAGTGAGTGGCAGAGGGATGCCCGGTGCCCTGAAAGCCCTTGGTACTTTGTGCATGCACCTCGGCAAATCGCTAGAGATGCGAAGAACCTGGGTGGTGTGGCTTTAACGTGGCTAAAGCCCTGGACATTCCTGTCAGAGGGATGAGGGACATGTGCTCAGTCCTCTGTGACGTGCCTCAGGGCACAGCGGGCTGCGCCTTCTCCTGGGTGTAGCATCCCATGTGGGCTGTGCATTCTGCACTGTGGTTACGGCTCCTGTTTCCAGCTCCCCAGGACCTCATCTTAACCCTCACAGGATCCCTGCTGCCTGTCTGCCCTAATGCGTGGCAGGGGCTTCCCAGGAGCAGAATGGTTCATGCCCTGCAGTCAGCTGCCTCTGTCCCTCACGGCTTCTTGGCGTCTTCATCCACAAATGAGGACGGTTGCTTAATTAAAGAGGTGCATGGCGGACTGATGGGATTATTCTGAGGAGCCTCCTTGTGCACTGCCTGGCACACAGAAGGCGCACAGTACATGCTGGCTGTTCTTATTGACAGCACATGGCCATGGAGTGATGTGGGAGTCGTGCTGGGGAAGGTGGGCTTTGCGTTCTTGCTAGCTGGGGGTGAGGCACTAGCAGGGGAGAAGGAAACTGTTGGCTGGTGCAGCTCTGAATCATCCCTGACCTGGGGTAAAGTTGGCATTAAAGACAGGCTGCCCCAGTAGAGCTGCCCCTCTCCCAAGTGGGAGTGCCACCTCCTCAGGACCAACACGACACAGCACAGGCACCCAGTGGACAGACACCTGGCTAAAAGGGCTCGCAAGCTTCCTTGGTCCTTGCCAATGCAAATGGCCAGCATGCATTCATTCATTCATGTAGTTATCCATGTATTCATTCAGCCAACCAAGGCTGTGAGAAATCACCAGGCAGCACCATGGAGAAGGTGCTAGAGATGAAGGCAATGGCTTTGCCTTCGTGACTACAAGGAGTCCAAGCCCCCAGCTGCAGCAGGAGTTTAGTACGGAGACTTTGGGGATGGGCGTCAATGTGTGTGCAGGCTTTCTTGCAAAGATATTTAAATCAGAGCAGTCTACCAAATTCCATTTTTTCTACGAAAGCCAGAAAGAGGGTGGTATTGGAGAAGGGCTGCCCAATAGATTCCTTTGGGAAGGATGTGGACCTAGCAGACTGTGTCTCTGCCACACCTGCATTTGTTGGGCCTTGGTGATTCCACATCTCGGCCAACTTCTGGCTCTTTGGCTGTGGGGTGTTGTGTGACCCTTAGCACAGCTGCCTAGCCCGAGCCCTTGGATCCTGGATGCACTGAACCATCATCAACTGTCCCCTGATGGTTGTGCGTGTTTGTTTCCTCTTGCTACTGTGAAGTCAGCAGAAGCTTTGTGTTGTGGTCTGAATGTGGTTTGGGTATGTCCCTCAGGGGTTTAAGTTTTGGGGGCTTGGTCCTCAGGGTGGTGATGTTAAGAGGTGGTGGACCTTTAAGAGGTGGAGCCTAGGGGGAAGTCATAGGTCATCGGGGTGTGGCCTTGGAAGGGATCCTATAGATCTCCAGTGACCCTAGTTAGTGCCCGAGAGAGGGATTGTTGCAATAGGGAAAGACTGCCCCCTCCCTCCCAGCTTCCTGTCAGGCTGTGTGATCTCTCCCTGGCTCACTGGAGAAGGAGCCATGCACCTGGTGCGTGCAGTCTGGGACCTCCCCAGAGCCTCCATTATTCTGTGAGCAACATTAATGTCTTTGGAAATTATTCAGCCTCAAGTATTTTGTTATAGCCATGGAAGATGGACTAAGATGCCAAGTGTCTTAAAACAGCAGACATTTATCACCTTACATTTCTAGAGGTTAGAAATCCAGACTCACTGTGCTGAAATCAAGGTGTGGGGAAGAGTGGTCAGGTTCCTTTTTGGAGGCTGGAGGAAGAATCTTTTCCTTGTCTTACCAGCTTTGGAAGGGTGCCCATGGTCCTTGGCTGTGGCCTCTTCCATAGCAGGTGGAGTTTTTCTTACATTGCATCACTCTGATGCCGAATCCTTTGCCTCTCTCCTCTACATTCCAGCGCCCTTGTGATTACATTGAGCCCACCCACATCATCCAAGAAAAGCTATTATTTTAAGGTGAGTTATTAGCCAACTGTCTGCCGCCTTATTTCCCCTTTGCCATGTCAAGTGACATTTCCCTGATCTCAGAGATCGGGAGGTGGGCATCTGTGGCTTGGCTTCTGCTGCTGCTCTTTGGAGGTCCCCTCCCCATGCATAAGATAACTCCCTGAGATTGGTGTACCCTTTATTTCCCCCATGTCACTTCCTCATATCCCAGCATTTCCTGGGATCACCTTTGAAGTAAATGGCTCTGTTCTGAGATCCTTGTCTCAAAGTCTGCTTCCAGGGAAACCAAGTAAGACCATGGATAAGCCAGGCTCCGTGTGTTTGTTGAGTCTGCAGCCGACAATCTCTGCCCTCTGCAGGCATCAGTTTGTGAACTCCCCAAAGGAAAGGAAACATCAAAATGTGGTAGGACCCATGAAGACATTAGCCCTGGGTCTGCACTGAAGTCAGGGCCCCAAGACTTCATATATGGGGGTGGGGGGAGGCAGCTGGATCCTGGATCCTGCAGTGGGAGAGGAAATCGTGTACCTCCCAGGCACCTCGCAAGCTTTCCTGCCCACTGCAAGTATGAGAGCCACACAAAATGCCACCACTGTCTTCAGGGATTGCATCCACGAGACTCCTGTCATCTCGGCTTCCCTGTCCAAAGTTGGCTGCATCCAAGCATTCAGTTTCCTCTCAGGGGTTTCTCTGGGGACGCCCAACCCTCCCCAGTCCACTGATTACACAAAAGTCACATACCTGAGGAACAGTTGGGTCCAAATAAATTGCCATGGGTGCAGGTTTCACAGGCTAGTCCTCCAAACCCCTCCTGCAAAACACCCCAGGGGGCTGACATCAGACTCAGGGAGACCTGTGTTCTGAGGAAACCCCACTTGACCCCCTGATGGGTTTGATTAGCATTTTTTCCCCAGCTGTATCTTTCCCCCAAGCTCCTTTCCAGTTAATCTTTTGTTCTTGCTGGTTTTGGTATGACAGTGAATCCCTGCGTCACTTTTTGCTGAAGGACTGGAGCCCTGCAGAGGAAAACTGCACTGTGAGCCCAAAGGTATAAATAGCACATGCTGACAGCCACATCCCACTTGCACCCAGGGTGAAAGAAAACTTTCAGTTTTGCACTTCTGAAGGCAGTTAAACTCAATGCCTTTCAGAAGGGTTTCTTTGTGTTTAAATCCTTTAAGGCTGGAAACTTGCAAGAAGTCACTTTCATGAGAAAAAGAAATCCTTCAAGTGGCAAATGGAGTAGTTGGCAACGGACACTAAAAACAGCAATGGAGTCATCTGATAGCAGTAGCTATTTTTAACAGTAACAATGACAGCAATTTCTCTAGCCCTGCAGAGCTTCACAGAGCATCCTTACATATATGATCTCATTTTACTTCTTTAATCAATGTGATTGCAAAGATTTTATTTCAGGCCCATTTAATAGATGGCTCTGGTTAAGGCTGAGCAGTGAATCAACTCGGCTCAAAGTCCCCGGCCTCTGAGAGTCCTTTTGCTAGACAAACCATATTTTTAATACCAATACATGGACCCCTGTGTCTTGGGGACTCCACTTCGCATGTAGGTGTGTGGAGGGAGGACCACTAGGCAAGCAGGGGGCACAGAATTGCAGAGAGGGAGAACACATTTCTGAACTCACTTGGCAGGCGCAGGTTCCATTTCCGTCCATGCCCTCTGCACAGCTGCCCCGGCCACTGCACGGCGTCCCCGCTCCTCCCGGGCACTCTAGGGAATCAAACAGTCAGATTTATTCACTCAAGACTGCACATGGCATTCTGGGAGGATGACTGAGCCAGGTACTGGACACCTAGGGCCAGCTAGTGTGCTAGCTACCAGGGACAAGGGTAACTGGAGACCCTGTTGGTGCCATGCAAGGTTTCACAGGGGAGGGCCAGGGATTTAGCTCTGTGGTGCCACCACCTGCCTCGCAAGAACAAGGTCCTGAGTTTGATCCCTGGGACCAAAAAAAAAAAAAAAAAAAAGAAAAAAAGAAAAAAAGAAAAACAAAAAGGTTTCATGGGGGAAGCAGATGTGTGAACAGGTGGACTGCAGAGTATTCACATGCTGTGATCAGAGACATCAATCGGCCATTCCTTGAGCACTTGCTATACATTCTGCAATGATCTGGTTAAATGATTCCCATGGTTACCTTCTGCTGTTGGCAGAGAGGTTCCATAACTTGCCTTCAATTTTGCAGTTTATAAATTGCAATGTTGGGAAGTTAGTTCAGCCCTTAAGCATGAATCAAAAGCCAGGCTTCAATTGTCATTATTTGCAGACAGCATGATACTCTATGCAGAAGACCCCAAGAACTCCATCAAAAGTCTTCTATACTTAATAAGTAAATTCAGTAGAGTAGCTGGATACAAGGTCAACACAAAGAAATCAGTAGCTTTCCTCTACACGAACAACAGACTCACTGAGACAGAAATAGGGCAAACAATTCCTTTCACAATAGCATCCAAAAAACTGAAATACCTAGGAATCAACCTAATGAAAGAAATTGAAGACCTCTACT